GATGTTAAGTAAGAAAAGTTCCATCCCGTTTATCTAACGATTTTGTTTTCCTTACTTTGTGTAATAAGCTTCTGGAAGTCTTAAAAGGGCTTTAGTATTTGTTCCATAGCTAGTGATTCTGAAGTCGGTTTCACGCATCTCTAAACTTACAACTAGGAGTATTTTTTAGGTAACGACGAATTGTTTAAAGCTTCTCATTCCGACTCACTCAAGAACCTCCCCACGGTATTACAGCTCAAAAGTGGCAGATTTATAATAAATTCTGAACAGAAACAATTCACGGGTGCAACTTGAGTAAATCTGACCGATAAGCATAATCGTAGAAGACAACGAATATAGACGTCTTTGACTTTAAAACTAAATGTACGATATTATCGCATCGAATGTCTCCTATGGTTCGTGTAACTACCACATAGAAAGCCTATTCATTCGTACAAATGAACGTTGTTTTTAATCTCAAGACAAAACGATGAGTAACCGTACGGTAAACGGACTTCACAATAATAATAGTTAACTTACAGTTTCGATTAATAGGCCTCTTTGTAGATTTAAATCAAAGGCCATTGTGCGTTGCTATTTCTGTATCTGCTTTCGTAAAAATACAAATGAAGCAGGTGTCGAGAGTGCACCTTCTTTTTACCTCAAACGCCCCCTTTGAGGTCTCACTCAGATTAAATTACGCGTTTTTATCCCAACAAAAATAACACAGGCTAATAGAGGTAACCAAATGTTTTCTAATAGCAATACTGCGGCGAGCACACAGAAAGGAATTGAGGGGTAAAGAAGTATTCAGGTAAAACGCGCCAAGACTTACCTACAGAATAGGACTATCGACCATTACCGGAAGAATCATGTAAAATAAAAATATTCAAAGACAGATGTGAGCTGTTTTAATTATTTCCTATAAATTATTATCGAATCGACACAGTGCGATATGAGATCCATGTGGGTGCTATATCTGAACAAATGGTAAATATAGTTGTTGACAGAACGCACATAATAAATTAACATTAAATTGCTCTCTAGCGTTAGCAACATTCTTCTCTGAGCAGCACTGCGCAACGGGTACTTGGGCATACTACAAAAAGCTGCAACGCAGATTTTCGTCGAAGCCACTGAGGTTCTTAACGACGCTGATATTGTTCTAGAGGGCACAGGTTACGTGCATAGTGAACATCATAGACAACACTGTTAACACGGTGAAATTAGCCGTAAATAACTCTTGCGGAGGATTCATCTGTACTAGATTTTATTGTTGTATAAGCATTTTAACATGATAAAACAACATCAAACTATATAACATGCCTTTTCAAGGCACTCCAGGCGAATTATTATTAGTGTGTCCTGGTGTTATAGAACTGCGTCCTCTGAACGCTGCAAAATGTGAGACAGGTATTTGATTTGCGTACAACGGCAGAAACAGCGCATTCTAAGTGTCAAAGGCCGACACGTAAATAATTTAAGCGCTCGTACGTACTAAACAGCTTGCAATACAAATGTTAATGGCACATTTTTATTGTTATATATCACTTTAAATCAGCGCGTTTCCTGCTGTTTATCTCTTAGATGTCTTATTACTTCAATAATCTTCTACCTATCGTTCCTTCTATTCTACTATACTTATAGTAGCTAATTTTTTTTTGGGGGACCGCATTTATTTTTTAAATTTGTTTAACCTCGACAAACACCCTCCTGTCACCCCTGGCAAAACCAGCCTCGATGATTACAATTTAATTCCAAGCTTCTGCCGTATTCCAGCTGGGATAAAAGTCTTGACATGGCTCATATCGCAAAAAGGACGGTTATTCGTCTGTTTGCAGCGACATAACAAATATTTCTTCTCTTGCGTAACCTCAAAAGCCACTGGTGATATTTTTGGCTCGGGCATCGTCTTATGCGAGCCGTCGCACATCGGCTGCTTCTTAGATAGGCCACATGAACACCAATAGTACTTTTTGCCAGGCTGCAGTTGGACGAAGGTTGGAATTCTCTTCGCAATTTTCCCTAAAATGTAAACAGTGCAAAACATATATATTTGTTCAGCCATTTCAACGAATATTATTATTGTATATACGTATATATGAAAACGTAGGCAGAAAGTGATAAGATAAAAAGAAACAGTATTGCACTTTAGGGGGTGATGTCCGAATGAAAATCACAACATGATTTTGACATAATTCCTTTAGTTTCTCCGTAACGTGATAGCATATTAATTACCTAATCAAATTTAGGTTTTTCTTGCATGGTGGCATAAGCTCAGTTTTACCTAACTTTGATATTCGGGTCGCTATTTGAGTCGCTGCATAGCATATTATATATAGACAGGCTTAAGGCAAACCGCCGGTTGCACGACGCCTTGGTTTCAACGGCGCCATCTGTTGCATATTCTGTGTGTGGTGTTCATCAGGTGTACAGACGCACATTTGTGGTTTTAGTTCGATCAGTGGCGACAGGCTATTACAATAACATAGTAAGACACTAACTAATTAATTAGGTTAAGTATTATGCTTATATTTCAATGCAATCTCGTCGGGACAACCCGAAGATACAGAAATATAGATAATCATATGGACGGATCGAGATCCTGCGCTCTTTCAGTCATTCAACACCGCCTGTTGCAGGCTGCCCGATTTGAAAACGAGTGAACATTCTTAATATGGAGCGTCGCCTCTAGATAGCAACAAGATTCCATGTGTTTAGTGTTTACTTAAAGCACTATATCGTCATTAGCATAAAGCGGATGATTCCACATAACTTACTCAGAACAGTTATTAGCATTACCGAACATGGCCTCTCGCGCACCCTGTAATTGAGCTTGTTCTAATTCTAAGGCAATCAGTAGACTTTAAATAACAAAGAAACAGATAATGGCATAATAATAATCAATAATAATAATAATAAGATAATATCAAATCAACATCAACAGCCAACTGGATAAACCATAGAGTAGGAAGAATTGGCGTTAAGTTATAGAAGAGATCGCTACAAAATTTTGATGCCAAGCTTCCATTGTAAAGTTGTTATTGTCGATTCAACCTTGTTTAACACAGCACCTAAAATGATTTTTTAAATCAATGAATGTAAAGACAACTTACTCGGAATACACACATTCAAAATTTATATTTTGTTTTTAACTGCAAAAAAGTCTCATGATATTCATATAGGTGGTACCTATTGTTAATTATTCACAGGCTATGCGACATCGCCGCCAGACAATAATAAAATGTAACGTTTTAAAAAACTAGTGATGAAAAAAATTTGACAAAAATACATTTTTTTTTAATACTCACACTTCATCATTATTTCAATTTCAAAAAATTAAAGAAAATTTACAAATGTTTAGTTAATTTGACATGCTGTACTTCCAAGATTTAAAAATGTAACCGAAAGCTTCATGTAAAAAAATTTTATACGTATATAGTCTAAAGCATAGTGGTTCGGTCATCATTTTACCTTACATCATTTTAACATTTAACACCTCTCATATTCGGCACACTGAAAGGTAAATAAATTCGCTAATTATACAATCTACAAGTTAATATGACCAATTGCATCGGCTGTTTCTCTAAACCAACGCCAGCAGTCGCCTATAATACTTAACCAACCAGACCATATTACTATTATTTGAATAATTATCTTTAATCGAAAACATGTAATCTCGCTCCGGCGCTAGTTGGCTTCTCAAGGTATAATTATGATATACAAATGTACCAACGTTTCACGCACCCTTAACAACAGGCTGAGGATCTGTGTGAGTACTGTAGAAGCGCGCCGCCTGCGCCACACACACAATTCTTCGTATAAACATCATAATTATTTATATTTTCCGACTAATGATCACTGCAACGGTAAACAGAGTGAAAGAAAATGATGTTTTTCAATTTAATTTGTCTTGGCCTGTAGCTTACTACGAACGCCTACACCGGACAAATCAGAGCAGAGCACTAAGCAGTCGATGTATTTAGCGATTTATTGTGATCAGTGTTTCTTGTTTTCCTGTGTGCTTGTTGACGAAGCAGACGACACTGGTAGTGCACTCTGTTCCAGTATCATCTGGTTCACGAGCCATTATGCGCACGTAGGGGCAAAAACCAGTTGATAACAAAATATAGCAGGTTCCATAAGAGCGATATTTTATTTTGATTCGAAGCAGCAGCAGTAGCGACGGTGACAGAGGGTCGAGCCATGGGCCCGTTACATGACTATCTTAGAGTTACTCTCGTAGCATAGTTTGCTTACAGAGCACAACGGCTTATAGGCAGTTGACCCTCTCCCCATTACACAAACAGCTTATACACTTCATGGGTATGTGGAGCGCGAAAACATAGGGAATCATTAAACGAATACACAGAACCTGGTAGTTAGGCAGACACACGTTGCGATCAACTATATTTATTTTGGTGATCAGTTGCTTTAAGGCGCGGCATAAAGCCCGGATTCTAATATCTGAACAAAATTCCCCCTCAACCAAGCTTACTATTGTGGATTAATAGATAAATATATTTCAAGTTTACCAAATTGTAGAAAAAGTTGATAGGCAGTTTGATTCGTTTCGCTTTGGATGTTTGCCATAAGATAAGTTAGCACATTGCAACAAGTGCGTTACCCCTTTAAAACTGTTTAAAAAATCCAATTTTCGAAAGAGCTGAAAGTAGATTCGACCCGATCACTACACTAATTGCTCATTAGCTAGCAGTCTTTATGTTCATCAAGGAACCTTACACAGTGGCTGGGCGAGGTCGAACGTAGAACCAGCGCGACACCCTGGTAGACGACAAATGGTTCTCTCGAACGTTGTCTCCCTGTGAGAGCTACTGGAAATTATAGAATCGTTCTCCTAATATTTTCCGGGCGAGGGCTGACGATTATAAATACCAAGTAAGAGCCGTATTGAGAATAGAAATCATCAGGCCTTTCATCTCCTAGCCACTAGGACACTGGAATCATCCGCCGACCAAAAGGAAATGCGATTGCAAATGTGTTCGCCGTTGGGTCGAACTATTCTCTCGCCCCTTCTTCTAGTTACGGTAGATTCCAACGGAGGATCGTAGTTATTTAGTGGGTGCTGGATCCTGCTCCTGCGCTGCAAGCTGTCTGTAGTGGTGGCGCTGCGACGATTCATGAAAACCTATAGGGATTTTTATGAAAATTCAACAACATGTCACAGGTTAGTGCAGAGAGGGCAAACGCTTGTACGCAGATGCGTCAAGTAATGGCGCTGCTCGATTTCACAACATGTCCTTGGAGAAATTCGCTGGTTGGCATTGACAAAATAACACTTGCTATTGCGAAATGAAAAACATTGTGGATTCGGCCTGCTTGCCAAATCAAAATGTTACAGGTGCCCATTAAAATTCACTTTGCATTATTTATATACTGAACAATGAAACGATCTCGAACAAAATATAAAAGTTCAATGTTAGATATTATATTTGGATTTCAATGAACAACGCGAATGCTAGTTCTGTGAAATAAATAAGTGATGCAATAAAGTACATCGTGAACCTAAAGTCTTTCTATGGAAAGCAAATCAGAAAATTTTAACCTGTACTTGCATATTAGAAATTCATGTTTCTATACCTGCTTTTCGATGAGCGTATGGGGCTGTAACAAATGCCAGATACCGCGAATATGAAAGCAGTTTATTTGTAATCATGAACCAAAACATGTTTGTTGAACGGAGGTCCTGTAGATATTTCGATGGTCTATACATTTTCCACCTATAGTAGACAAAAACATTTCGAATGGCCAACGAGATGTAGCCTTTTTAAATTTATTTTAATTCATAGTGATGCATCCCACTAGGGGCCATTACTGAGAAAGATTTATTTTTGTTTATTCGCGTCTCAATCGAGACAGCAAGAACAAAATGAAATAATGTGCAGAGTGCTCCGTTGCATTCATGTGCCTTCTTTAATTGATTAGGTCAAATTTGAAGAGTTCTGTGATGATTTTTCGAAGCAAAGATGGGTATTTATTTTAAACTGCCGATTAATTGGGTTCGATACTTTTTGGATTCGCTGGATCGTCATAATGTGATCTGTCATATGTTACGTTGTATGTGAGTGTACGTGGGCTATAGTATTTAGAATACGCGTCTATACACCTAATACCTTAATGTCAATGACTTGTAGGTCGTCGCCTGCCTCCATGAGGTAATGAACCTTCCGTTCCCTCATACTTATCGATGAGGCGCGTAGTAGCCGACTGCCATACCGCCTCTCGGAATTGGCACAGCGGCAAAGTCAACGTCTGGATCTGCTTTTTAGTAAAGTGCGAAATTTAGCCCGATTCAATTCTGCAACACATGTTATATGTCTATTGCCACCTTTGAATGGTTGTTAGTTTACTCCTCTGCAAAGACGACCAGTTAGAGGTTATTTCACATAGTTAATACGCGAGCTGCTCAGTGGGTTCAAACAACTAAGCCGAGCCTTTTTCGTTAATGATCTGTAGACATTCAAACGGCGTTTGTGTGCATCTGCATAACTGACAGCACTTCTCTTATCATCTCTGTGTCAACAGAACTGAAGCCGTACTCTATTGAGCACCGTTCGTAAGAGGCAACTAGCAGTAGCGGTCTGTTTCTGAAACTCTGCACTGTAGAGAGATAGATAGCCGAGCTAGTTTCTGTGTTAAGTAGAGTAGGGAGATATGAATATGATTTGCAAACAAAGAACTTGTGGTTAGACGCATAAAAGGCTGTTGTTTGATATCCGAAGTTATCCTAGCAAAAATTCGGATCTTTGCAATCTTTGCTTATCACTGTTAGTTAATAAGATGTTAATTGTTTCTCGACTCACAGGTTCAGCTTGGGCAAAATTGTCGGAATCTTATAGCACTTACTAAGCTTGGCGTATGTTCGAAAGTGGCTATGATTTCTGGTGATCTCCTATGAGTGGTATAAACATGTCAAGAGACACCATTGAATAATTTATACTGTATGCAAAGGGCCTTGGAAAAACCACATGGCCATCGCGATGCTTGTGCGTCTCGTCCCTTATATGCCTGCCCGCAACAAAAAGAAATAGGTATAATAAAATTTTTCTTTGGAATAACGATGGATTGTTTTTTTAGTTTGAAGCAGAAAAAACTCCAAAGAATGGTTTCAAGGATCCTTATAAGGAACAGATTGACGTCCTTATGCCAGGCCTTGAAGACGAATGGAAAAATCAGGCCAAGCGAAATAACAAGATGACGGAAGAGATTCGAACGCTTCTATCTATTTCGGATAACCCATATATTGTATGTTTGGATGCCATGCAATGTTGCTGGGAATTCTCGAAGAGTCGGGCTGGACAAACGCTATGTCATCAATTTCTTCAGGCAAGTATATAGTGTATATTATAATCTCAACTATACTTTAACTTTTAGCATAATAGTGATTGTTTTGTATAGTCCGCACCGTGTAGTAGAGGCGAATATAATCCACACTATACTTCGTCATTGTACTAATAGGTATGGCCAATGCTAACTATGTATGGCTTGATCGAATTTTTCCTAAAGTATCATATCACTACACGTCAGAGCCATGTGCAAAGATTTTGCTTATGGATCATTACCCATCTATGAACACAAAAATGACGCTGTCACCTAGTTCACATCTTTTGCACAACGAGCCGCCATACACAAAAACGGGAGGCGTATGTGCGGCGTCAAACAGTATCTCATCTACACGAAATAAATGTTGTGCTCACAAGTGTAGATCTTACCATACCAACAATGGTGAACGTTCGTGGTAGCTTAGAATATTATCCCATAAGATTCAATAAAATTAAGTAGCACATATCTTACAATAGCTTGGTATCATGTCGCACGCAATTTGAATCATTTATTAAGTCGTATTAATTAAATACCGGAGAGTCCTTTAACAAGTGATGACACATAAGTTTGAAACCATCAAGTTAAGAGGTAGGGTAGCCTCGTTAGAATTTCAATGCATGTTAGTTGAGGCAATTCTCTTGCGGCCATGACTTTGTAATAATTTAAATAAATCAATGCATGTCAGGTATGTACCTTAGACACTTAGCACCATGCATAGATTTAGTTCTTACGGAAGACGTTACGGAGACCCTGACATTTTCAACTCTCATAGATATTTGTGTTTTTATATTAACAAGTGTATTTGGCAAGTTCTTGTCAGAGGTAAACTTAAAATAATGCTCTCTTCGATTTTTATACACTATCTATACAGGTAATATTAGAGCTCCGTCAAGTAAACGATCCATCTGTAAGTGTCGATAAACTGACGGACGAGGTCAAAATGACGGCACTTGATACGATCATCAAACAGGCAAATCAGTCACTGGTTGATCTCACTTGCAAAACATTCTTGATCGATCGATCATGTGCAACAATATTTCGGCCTGTTGTGACGGACCTAATTGCCAAAAAATTCTTTGTTGAGGTAAGTGAATGGAGATTAGGTAGCTTCCTACGTTTTACGTATGAAAGAAGTGCCGAAAATTACGAGTGTCGCTTTAAGGTTGTAAAGCAATCCCGAGGCAGTCGGTTGATAACATAAAATTTGAAACATAATGGCAAGAATTGCATTTTGTAATATGTGCCACATTCAAGAGGCATCTATCACAGTCTGAAACGACTACACCGGATACGGATGAGTTTATGATATCCTATACAGAATGATGTGAATAGAAATTGGGATTCCAAGTATTAATGAAATCGGGTACGGGCTTTTATATAAACTAGCACGTAATACAGCATCACATAAGTTCCAGTAAAAGCTCTAAAATGAGAAGGAAACCGGTACGTAGAAACTGTTTGGTTTGCAGGTGTAACATCCGTAGAGCTTTAACCTTTCAGTGATTCGATATTAGCCTTTGATCTGCTTTGGCATAACCCTACTTTTCGTTCTCCATCGCCGGTATCTGCAACTGACAGCCATATGGATATGTCTGGCTCTGAAAAGCTTTTGTAATTGAGCACAAAGTTGACAGTCTAATGTTTATGTTTTTGTTTTATAATTAACAGGCGGCAAGCGTAGTGAATCAGTTAGGGTTGCGCGAAGAGTTTGTTGAAGGTTTGGCTATACCATTACTTCTGCTGGACAAAATTCCATTGCTCGAAGCATGCCTTGAGGGAGTGCCTGAAGTACAGAAGGCTGTCATTCGGGGATTCGATGATGTTTTTGAGGATTCGAATAAAATGCAGGGAATAATTAAAAAGTAAGTGATATTATTATTCTTGTTATTATTATTAATGAGCGTTAAAAATGTATTCATCAATTTCAAATACATATATCCCAATTTCGTACAATATTCTGTCACTTACTTAGATTCTCGTTTTGACTTTTCAAGACTTACTCTCAAGACGGATAAAAAGGGAGACCAACATTTATGGAAGATGATGTCTAAACTGATGACTCGGCTATTGAAAAAGTATGGACTGCCAGCTGATCTATGCCCACGTCTACAGCTTAGCCGAAATAGAATTACCCTTCGTTACATGCTGCATAAAAAGTATCGCGATCGAGACGTTGCCGAGTCCTCGTGGCGCGAAATGGTTTACGATCAGGTCGGTCAAATGGCCACTTGTACAAAGTACAAGCAGGGACGTTGTGCTAAGTGCCCCTTTATTTGATGGTGCTATGTTACTTTATCGTCGTTTAAGTTAAGTTACCCAAATAATCGATAAGGTGATGATTATCCAGATTTATGCACTTATATTCTTAACAAATTATTTGATTCAAACCTCAGTATGATGACGTTGTTACTGAGAACGTTAATTCGACGTGTATTCGTGGTGCCCGGAGTATACCCAGTGAATGGCGAACATAATTATCTCCTTTGCCATAGCTTGTTTTTGCCATAATTTGTTGATTCAAAGCTACACATTCTTTTGCCATAATTTGTTGATTCAAAGCTAACATGTGTCTCGTTGGCCTACAGGTGTCCAATTTCCGCGTACTTCACACTGAACTTATGCGCGAACTGGTGAACTACGACGATCTGAAGACCGCTCACTTCTTCGCTCTGAAACTTGGCCTACCTCGGAACCTCTATCCGGGCAGATTGCATGAATACGTCAGATCGTTACCACCCGGAGCTCCGTCTCCGCTGGAAGAAAACGAGTCTGTGAACAATAATTATCGTAATAACGATGAGCGTGCCGGAAACTATCTGCAACTCACCCTGGGATCGGATCAGGTGAGGACAAAGAGGTTTTGTGGGAGAGACAACACAATAAAAAAATAATTAAATTACATATTGAGTTTGTTATGTGTCGCAGTTGCGTTAAAAAATAATGATTAGCCAGGTATATCTGAGCATCCCACGCTAACCATTGCACTTACGTAACTATTGTATTTCATCTTTATGCAGATCAATATGGTGCAAACAAGAGACGAATTTTTGTCAGCTGTAAAAATGCTTTCTGAAGCGCCCTTGATCGGTGTCGATGCCGAATGGAAACCTGCGATGGGTTTTATGCAACAAACACGACTTTCACTGCTTCAAATGGCGACTCACGAAAGAGCGCTTCTGTTCGACGTATTGGCGCTGGTCGATGTCATCTCGAAAGAAGATTGGGAGACGTTCTTCCGAAGTGTTTTCGAGAATTCAGATGTCACCATACTTGGTTATGGACTCGCTGAGGATATTATCAAGCTCGAGCGATTAACGACAGTACAGATCGAGAGTCGAAACCTGGTTGATCTTCATTTGGTGCAAGCAGCGCTCATGATCTCGCGGTCTGATCTGATGACACCTAAGGTACCACCGCCACGATCAGGAGCGCCACAGGTATTTTTACGCTAACGCTAAATATTGGCTATGAAAACAAGTTGAAAAAGTTATAGATGAAACCTGTTTTTTGTCGATCCTATACTTAAAATTGGGCGCAACGTTTGAATCAGATGAATATGTCGCTTTACCGAATGCGTACCTTTGACCGTTGATTTTTTATAGCCAAACAACGTTCTAAATTATTTCAATGATGGGTGTACTTTTTAGCATCAACTTGCAATGTTTGGGTTTTCTGTGCTTTACAAGTGAACACCGCAAAACGTCGAAAACCCAAACATGCGTCGTATTCTTTTTAATCTATTGGCTTTTCAGGCGCAGAATACAGGACTCAGTAGACTAACCCAGACTTTGTTGGGCTATCCTCTCGACAAGGCCGAACAATGCAGCGATTGGGAAAACCGACCGCTTCGAACAACGCAGATCAACTATGCAGGTACTCATATAGCACGTAATAATGTCCGTTAATATTTCCGCTAAATAGTCTCGAAACGGTATTATGTAGTAATAAAAGTAATGTAGAACTGATAAGTCATTTAAATACTATTTTTGCTCAATCGTCAAAAGACATTGGCATTTCGTGTTTTCGAGTCCGTATTATTTAAATACGTGTTTTTCTATTTGGACGAATTTCGGACAGCGTTAGATGCGCATTGTCTCCTTATGTGCTGGGACGAGCTGGCGAATCGCTGTCGGCCGGAGAATCTGGCAGAGGTCGTGCAGCAAGCTTTGAAAGAACGTGAACAACCCGAGAATCAGGCAGATGGAAATCAACATTCCCCGCCAAAACAGAGCGCGAACGGACATTATCACCAGGATAACCAACGGCACCATCAAGGTACATAATTCATAACGATACTATAATTGATATAAAAAGGTAAACGCACACACGTGTATTTAGTTTTGTTTGTAGGTAAAAAATCGATCTTTCTACGGACAGGCTGCACAGATTTGGCTTTGTTTACGCAGCAGTTAAGAATAAGGGTACCTTTACCCTAAGCGTAGTCCGTGCACCAGAATCAAAAAAGGGTATACACCAAAAAACCGTCTGAAAGGTGGCAGGTTGCCATTTCGCCTGCTTTGCTTTCGTTAATCCCCTGTATGTGCGCCCTAGCTAGTTTAATCGAGGTTAAATTCTGTTTGCATCTTCGACTCCGTGTCGCATTTATTATGTTTTCTTCTATAATGCGTAGCTGCACATACAGATAGTCGCGGTGCGGGAGCTTTTCGAGGCAGGTCTCGAGGTATAGGCGCCAGACCTGCTGCTCATGCTGCATCTCGTTCTAGGTCGTATCATCATAATCAGTTCCCTTTAGTGGCCAGTCTCGGTGTGGGTTACACGGAACACTCCGCAACAGCCTTTCAACAAGGTGAGAACGGAAATGGGGCCCCACCATGGAGACAAGGCGGTTCTGGGGGATCGACTGCTAAAAATGGAAATTGGCGAAATAACAGACACTCACAGCAGCAGCAGCAGCAGCAGCAGCAACAACAACAGCAAAAACAGAATCAACAAAATCAACCGCAGTATCGCATCGGAGGCAGTCAGGATTGGCGGAACGGAGGCAGTCAGGATTGGCGAAATGGCATCCAGGAAAATAGAAGGTACCCGTCGTTAGCTGGTGGGAGCGGCTACGGAGCAGCTCCAATGGACTATAGCGATGAAGTTGGCGGTCAACAGGTGAGATGACAGTGAACTAAGCAGTGATTGCTTCAAAGAAGAGCGAATTCGATTAGGTTGAGCGCCATCGCGTCTAAAAAAAATATTAAACAAAGTTAACCTGAGATTTTGCTAAACAAACTAGGTCTCCTGTGGACCCTTAAGAAATTTTGAAGTATTATGTCGTTCCTATGGTTACGTTCTCTATATTGAACAGTAATGCTGATAATTATTATTTCGTCGACCTTATTTGTCGATTTCAGGTATGTCGACCTTATTACGGCAATCAGCATCTGGCGCACCAACAGCATCAGCAACACCAACGTTATCAATACACCAACGATGCTGGAGCCAGCTCTGGACAGTACAACGCACACAAATCAGGTAGCGACCGCACTCGGAAAAGTAGCCGTAGGCAAAAAACCTACAAATAACCAACAGTCAACTGAAACTCACTGGTAAACACGCCATGCAGAACAAATCGTTTCTTTAAAAATAACCACGACAACAAAAATTATATCGTATATTCTATAACAATGACCAACTAAGGAATGAACAGACGAAGAAATAAAATCATAAATTAACAACAGCCACAAACAGGGTGCCGCTGGCCTCGATGAAACCGCACCGATTTTCCCCATAAGATGAAGGTATGAGGTTGCGGTAAGAGTCAGCCGGAAAATGAACGCGTTTTTTTTGCTTCATTTTTGAGAATCTGTTTCAAGTACAATAGCCATAAGAACCGCAAAAAATGTAACAAAGGCATATAACATGAAGTGAGCCAGCATAATGTTATTATTATTATTGCTATAATTACTAAGCAGAAGCTAATCGATCAAGAACCTGAACTCTTCAATAATACAACTTGCCTGAACGTGCAAAGTTGACAAAGCTTGTTTGACAAAAAGACGACCCGCTTATCTATGGTCTAAGGTAGAAGAACAAGAGCGATGATGCTACTCCAAACTGGTGACATTTCAGGGGACTTAGGGTTATTAGTGTATACTATACATAAACATATATATATAGCTGCACTGCAAGTGTGATGTAGTGAACTGGATTAGTGGATGTGGCAAGCATTGATTGACTGAAGGCTATCTACTATACCACATTACGTATATGAACACATTCAGCTGATAAATTTACACAGGATCATTTTCTCGATGTCATTTGTGTGTGTGTGTCTGAGTGCAACGTGATCGTGACTTTTTCTGCCTACTTTTGGCGTGATCATGAAAAAAATTTGAGCACATAATAAAAACAAACAATACAAGCTGGTAAATATTCGTGTCAAATTCAAGCCGAATATCTCGTACAATCCAGCAGAGGGTGGATTGAGGGACTTGCTTTCCGCTGTTGTGTGTGGAAGGTTCCTAGAAGCAAATGTCACTGACTGATTTGAGTGACTGACAAGTGGCTGGTAGAATCACTTTTTTTTGGGTCGAAAGTATGCGTTCGTTGCGCTCATACGTCCAGTCGGACTTATTAAGGGCGTATTGATTCCTACTATCTCTGAGACATTTGCCGTAAATGAATCCTTCTTTTCAAGTTGCACATATAAATGTATGTAGAGTTACGTGTAATCTATGCCATTTGATTCCGTTACACATTAATGGGAGATGGAGAAATAAAACAAAGAAAAAATGTTTCATTCTTGTGAATAAGAATGACTATCTGTTCTGTGCTTTTCGCCGATCTCCGCATGTCTTGGTCATCCGAGTAGCGACAACCAGTTTCATAGCTACTCAATAACGTTACTATGTGTTTTGTACAATATGAATACAGATATATATGCTCTCGTGACGTTATAGCAAGTTTATAGATTCATATGGTTATGGTATGATATACAGAAATGTTATGTGGTGAGCGTTGATTGTGATGGTAAGCTCTGCTGGTGCAAAACATATATATCATTTGGAGGATCTATTTGGTGGACTTGTCTAAAATAGCAGTCGAAGGGATTAGAAAAAGTCATTCTAAAAGCGTATCTTATTTAGTAGGGCAGGATGCCCATTGTGATTTATGTAAATTCGTTGTGTTGCTGACATATTTTTGGTGATATTAGTTCTCGGGGCAGTGGCAAGATCTCACCTTTCACTTTGCGAATTATTACGCGTGCATGTGTCTGATCTTTAGGTCTCTGTAGATATTAACAAACGTCGTGGTCTGTAGTCAGCTTCGTTAAAATAGCGTTGCACGTCGCAAGAATGTCCTTCCTCTATGGCACTTTTTTTGCTGCAATATTTTAGCATGGATTAACACTCACACAGAGAAATCTTGTTTGGTTAACAATAGACGGCCGTAGCGGTACAACATCGACGTGTAACAACGCACCATATTATGCGTTTTGTCCCCTAAGTGTATCAGACTGATCGAATTCTGATTGACAGGAATTTCTCAACAGCATTGGTTAGCGTAGTCGTAACTGTGAATTACTATATATCTAAAAATAAAGTTTTTTACTAATATGATCAGTCATATTTTCATGCTAAGCGCGTCATTAAGGCGAAACAGGATGAGGCATACTCGCTCATAGTGTACGTGTCATATATAACTACTGATGATGATGGAGGTGGACTAAACTACCATATACTAGGCCATTTCATAAGTATCTGGATTAAAAAAGAAGATAAATATCTGCTAAAACCATTTGTAAATGTTTGTCTCGCACCTACTTGGGAGCATGAAAGCTGCCCCTGCAGTATGTTGCGAAAGTGACAACCAGGGATAACAAAATAAGCGTCCGAAGCGCTTATCGCTTCAGTATCGTTGTTATATCCTTTTTAAAAAAATGATAAATCTTGGGGTATAAAATGCGAAGTGGTCACTGAAGGCCAGCTATAGATAACAGGGTGACTTTTCAAATCTCAACTATTTCAACTTACACATTATTGTCTTTTCTGTTGTGTGAAAATAGGACTTTTGCCTTTATTATCTCGAGCCTTGCATCAGGTAGCCAATTTTTGGTAAGGAAAGTACGTAGTAAGATAAATAGTCAACCAGGGTCAAAAGTGGCTGGCGATTTTTCGGTGACGTATCTAAATCTGGGTCTAAAATTCAGACGAAAATTGGCAACTGCGGCACCTATTTATGCGCCTATGTATATATAATTCGAAGAGAAAGAAATTTTTCACCATTGGTAAGAGATGAGGTCTCACATATTGTACAAGCTTACTGGCGGTGAGAACCATTTCATATTGTGCTTGACCCATTTTCTGGAATGATAACTGTATTTGGTCTCCTTGAAGATGGCGCATCTTCAGTTGTGATAAGACATCGTCTAAACTTGATGATTTAGTTATAGAAGATTATCAACGATGCAGCAGAAGCTACCTTAAAGTGCAGTCAGGCCAGATTTCATCAATGGAACTTTTCAAACGCTATTTTTTAACAAGAGTAAACATCTTGCTGAGCTACTGCCCCAATACACCATACCTCTACATCTGCACCAGCTGACAGAACGGAATTTGTTGTATGTTTAACTTACCGGAGGAGGGTCCTTTCCAACAGAGAATTAATTACTTATTAATACTAATATAGGCCTGTATTTGTGACCCGCCCCTTGTGACCTGTGTCTACCCAACTTTTTATTAGACCTGAAACTGAGACATGTACAAACTATCGTTTTCATGACGTATTCGAGCGTGAACGTATTGAGAGCATGCGTGGCAGAATCACTTGTGAGTGTGTTACAACAGAGGAACGACATTCCTCGTTCTATTAACTTACTTCTATATTACCATACAAGAACAGCGCGAAACACGGGAACAAGAGCGCTAACTGATAAAACGTGCGGTATAACCGAGCTTTGACAGACTTTTGAGACGAATTCGAACATAGGAAAAAACTCTGGAATAATCAAATGCGTTTTGCATCTATCCAAGGTTACAATCCAAGGTAATATCAGATCGAGAAGCAAATATCACAAAGACAGTTCGACACTAATGTATTCAGTTATATGGAAAAGTTTTTTTAGGTTCTGCGGATTACTGGTATCTTCACTTAGTAAAAAGAAAACATCAACCTGATTTCAACTCGTTGTGTGCGCGCCGGTTCTTTTCACAGTTGAAGCGGCTGGGGAGCTGCGATTTATACTGTACTTGGGCATTCACGACCTACAGTATCTATGTATACCACAAACTGCCGTGCCAAAAAAACACATGGTAAATATTTTTTTTCATCAACACTGTTATAATGATTATAGTATCTGAAAAGAAAAGCGATATTACAAAGGATGGAAAGAAAATAGAACAATTAAATCCTGTATAAAACACAGCACGAAAATGCGTCAGATAAACTTATTTTAATCATTGTTTTGCCATTCTCAAATAAATATTATGGCGTGCATAAATATGGAGCGATTTTCATTGGTTTTTCGCATTTCGGGAAGGGGGTTTGCAGAAGCCAGAAATGCGAGAACGCCATTCGTCGGCAAGCTGAAGGCACATTTGATCTATTTAGATTTTATAGATGTTACAATTTCCGAGATATCGATACTTTTTGCCTTCAAAATGGCGCCTGAAATCTACCTTAAAAAGAGCACCAAAGATTAGTAAAAAATCTTGCACCTTATGGTTTAAGTTGCGCAAACTCTATAAAATAAAAGGGTTTAAACTCTTCTTCCTTCTAAATTTCATCGTTCTCGAGATAAATAGGGCAAATCAGTCGAAAAATTTCCTTAAATTTCCCTCTCTCCTTCTACACATATATATGTTAAGTGATACTGAATCAAGATTTCTATTGCCTGGTACTTGTAAGAGAACCAGTTTCTGTTTGTCAATGCATTGGAAATTTGTTAATTAGCCGGCTAGATATTCAATTAAATTTTTACGCAATTTATGCTAGTTTGGTACGATCTAAAAATACACTGAGGCTCCAGTCTATCCGTTCGCTACAATATAATCTCATTATCGATACGTTGACCCATTTATAATTAACATCTATTAATTATTGCCATTTTTAGCTAACGGAAACGACAACAAAAACATGCAAAAATCATCTGAATGCGTACAAATTGGACAGAAACAAAGGAAATATATATGATGTATAAGAACTACGTGACGAGTGACTTGTATGAAACTTCCAACAATGGACAAATAATGTTATAGGAATTGTAGAAACAAGCGTGTCATTATTATTATTACTATCCTTATTATGGCTAAAGTATGTGCGCGTATTTATATATAATATGTACAAGTTTTCTGAAATTGTCCATTATTTAAAAGTAGGTAAAGAGAGAAAGCAAAAGAGAGATCAGCTTATCTTTTGATGACATTGTTTTTTTACTCAATGTCGATTGCCACGATTCCATGTTTCGTTTTCTGTGCTCTTAGAATAACCTAGAGTTTTAACATTAGCAGTATTTAATTCGTTGGTTTTTCGGGATTCGCTGTTTTTTATTGCGACTGTACAGACATAATAATACTTAAAGATATTAACGACAACTCACAGTAATTTTTTTCCTGTTCTCTTTCCTATATTAATTTATTTTTTATTGTTAACTATTAGTATTAAATGGTGCGCGAACGGAAATAGTACGTTGAATTTTATCGGTGATGCTGCCTACAGCGTGTATGATTCCATTGTAGCTGCTGAATACTGTATGTCTTCATCGGCGCGCTAAGGCTTGGTTGTCTCTCAGATATTGTCTCGATTTAAAATGATTTCCAGTGGACGACTCATAGCCAAACATCTATTAGTGTATGACCTGGTCTCCTTTAAGCATTATCGTCATCATATAAATTTTAATATATATGTCCTCTGGAAGGCAGCATGGGTTTTCCAATGATAATATTTAAAATTTGGGTAGTATACATAAATAATTAATAATGAATAAACGGTATTTTGCTCCAAAAATGTACCCATTATTGTAGCGCAATCACAGCATTACTTTGAGACTAACATTCGATAATTTCTTTATTTACTAAAGCAAACAAATGATTTTAGTTGTTTTTTACTATTTGTTAAGAGCGACTAGGAAGCTATTATACTATATAGTAACAACAATGTTATAAAGAAATTCTGCAAAACGTGTTTAAACGATAAGCATGAACTTTGTAAAAGTCTTCTCGTGTCCAAGACCCAGCAACGGATAGAAAAGCATAGTGGATGAAGACTGCATTTAATTCAATGTTTGAACTCCGATGAAGTGATTACAGACAGGGAAGCATTCCCTAATCCTCAGACCAATGACACATACAAACAGACAACAAAATGGCACAAAAAGACAACATTACCGCTTACGGCGTGTACTGGTTATGCTTTGGCAAGGCAATTGTATGCTGTATCGCAGAGGCATATGATAACGACCTTGTGCAATACCAGGCGAAAACGCGCTTTAGGTCAAGAACAAGCATTGCTTTCGAGAAGAACTTTTTCGTAGCCATGCTTGCTGCCCGACGACCAGACTGCGACAGTTTTCGCTTCAAACATCGCCGTACCATCTTGTCATCTAATGTAACCATATATACAACTATTACTAATATTCATACGACGACTTCTATTATTACTTTATTATTATTTAGGGCGAGGCCAATCGAGGGGCCGACTGGCGGGGAATTGATTGATATTGGTTCAATTTAGCTGTTTATATTATAATAGGTAGGTGACGAGTAATGACGATGTCCATTATGTGGTAACAACTCCTATATAGTTAAATACATTATATATGGTTCGAGTTCGAAATAACGTGGGAGAGAAATAAGTATATATGAATGAAATTTACAATAATAAATGAGAAACACATGATGATGCAAGGACGTGCGGGTCGGAACAGAACCGATTGTGGTGTCATTATATTAGAACCATGCCATGGTGATACAAGTGTGCAGGATCCGTGTACTATGGCCAGATGATCGATACATAATTGATTGATTGACAAATAAAGACAAAAGCTTTGTCGCATAGTTACTATCGTTTAAGGAAATAGTCAACTGTGTTCGTTCGTGTTGTGTCTTTGTATTGACTTATATGCGTAGTTCGAATACATAAAGGATTTGCCAGATAGCAACAAACGATCCAATTGTCCGGTAGCCAAAGATTTATCGTTAACTTATTGGGATACAATAGAAAACTTTGTAATATATTAGTTTAAGCAATGCGCTATCAGTGTAAATCTTAATTTAGCCATAAAGCTCATAATGATAATATTTTCAAATCAACTGAGCGGCGGTAACTTGGTCGCTGCGGGCGGCCGATTGCATTGCGTTTTGCGGATTTAAGTTACTAAAAACAGCACAACGTATTCGTATTCAGATTTGTGGATGCCTGTTTTCCGTGCTATTTTAACCCATTTGCATATGTTTAATACTCTACTTGTTCACAATTTTTTCTTAATCTATCATTCTATTGGCCTACCGCCCTTGTCCCCAAAGCCATTTTTGTTTTTTCGATAAAACCTTGATTTCATTTAATGATATCTATTGACAGTATACTGCCACAATACCACTTGCTATAACCTGTTGGATCGGCATTCTCTAATTACAACGCTTGCTGACCAAAAAATCATACACATGCTTTAACTATATTGTAATTTCAGTTCGATCCGACAGATAACTCAAGTCCTGTTCGCCTATTTGAATTTGCCAAATAGCCTCAATTGAGTTTTGGCCGAGTTAGTTTGCTTATTGCTTCATTGATTTTACTAGTATACGATGTAGCGAGATTTGTTTTATGCTTCTGTTGTTCTGTTTGTTTCTCTCAGTTTCTGATTTTTCTCACCATTTTTTTTTTTCGCAGGAAACTTGGAGTGTCGCCACTTTATACGTCTAAGTAGGAGGAACTAGCATCGTCTCTCAAGGAGTCTAGTAAGAGCGGCCCTTGAACTAATCCAGAAGGGATAATCGAATGTCGTCCTTTTTGATGTTTTGGTAACAGAAGCAAATTGGTGTAGATCAGATAGGGGTCAGCATCTTATTACCTTCGTTTAACGAGTACGCATACGAAGTGTCCGAGCTCGAGCTGATCAGATCAGGCTGCCAGATTTAGCACAAGACAGGCTTAATCAAACATATGTGTAACTGTTTAAGTAGGCATAATCAAAGTACTAATTAAGGATGTGGAAAACAAGTAAGTTAATTTATTCGTACTAGGATGGTTTAGAAGTTCCAGTGTTTATGGGCGACTGAATCGCTTCTCCATTTAGTATATACGACATAATTATTATAATTTGGGATAGATTTTCGCTCCCCTTCTTGATTCTGCTAGACTAAGACACAAGGATGTGAGGGATAAACTGGAAATCGTTTTTACTTTTCACCTCTGTTAAATGCTCTGATTAAGGTTCAGCATTTTTGGTGTTAACGAAAATTGTAGCAAACTTTATTTTCATAGACATGATTATGTAGAGTGTTGCGGACAACACTGCATACCGCAATACACTTCCCCATTACAAAAAAAACCATGGTCCCCTCTACGAACTTCCACGAGAAAAACGACAAATAGCGTGTACGGCATAGACATTTGATTCGTTTTTTTTTGGTTCTGAACAGTGTCTCACTTTGCCTACCCTCGGATGTTTTCAAGTGGCTATCAGCATCCACCAAAGGTACATACAAAACCAGGTTGGATCGCTTCGCTAAACACAATTTCAAGAAGCTGTGATATACTGTGCAAGAATGGACTACTTCGTTCGATGAGTGTGGGAGTCTTCTAGTGTCCGTAACGAGATATTATTTGACCGGTACTATTATAAATAAATAAATAAATAAACTGATGGTATTCTATTCGATTTTATGCCGATGCAAGGTTCTGCGGTTATGCATCTTCGAGGATAAGGAGGTGTTTGAAAATGAAACGAAAACGTGCGACCGAAAGTTGTGATGGCCTAAATTGACTGAACACGTTGTTCTCAGTATTTAGATTGTGTTTGTTTGTTTGACTCTGTCCCGTGTTGATGAAATTATTGTTAAGTCTAACTAGTTAATCTGTGACCAATATGATTTATATGACAATGAACTTGCCCCGGAAAGTTTTAGCCGTTGGGCATAGCCGATTGTGCGGATCTGCTATGTTAATATTGTGCTAAATTTTGTAGAAAGGATACATGTTGGTTTTTGTTACTGTGTTTCGAAGCAAGAGGTCACTGTTATGATTGCGTTGTGTACATTGAATTCGGTTAACCGAGGTAAGATTTTGTTTTCAGAAACAACAACGTACACCATCCGTCGAAGAAATATATTATACGGCTTAGTTTGAGTAACGCACGGTCAGCGATGCCTGACAACTCTGACCAAGAATATATATAGGTATGGAGAAAAAGACTAGCGAAAAAATAATGTATGTGATTGGTCTGGTCAAAGTTTGTCGAATTCCAGACCTCAGAGTTCTAACGTTCGATCCAGCCGGAAAAAGGTAATAAAGCAATAAAGGCACAATAAATTTTATTGATAAGCAAAAAAGTAAGAAATCAGTGCGGGGAGGGTGGGATGAATCCTCTGACAGAGTTTGTTTGCGTATCCTTAATCAAAACGAATAGGGTGCGCGAAAGACTACGTGCAATTAAGAACGAAAACGTTCATTGCTTATAATTGATGAATGTTACTTAGAAGGACGATCGCTTTATAAATGAGTGATACGGATGAGCGGGACATGTAGGAATACGATCGCAGAGTGAAGCACGACATTACATTTATATATTAAGCATCATTAATAATAAAGTTGTAGTCTCCATCAACGTACGTAGTGTCGTCATTATTTTGAAGGATCTTGCTTTCAAAGCGTTTAGCACAAAAGCAGTTTTACTATAGCATTAGGAATAGTAGTCCGAATATATGCAGCATATTCAATTAGACGTTCTCTCGCCAAAACCTCGTTGTTTAGAAATGTGTCTTGTCCCAACTATAAAAGGATTCGGGTCAGCTTTTTTAGACAGACCCCTAATAAATCAAATTTAAGTCAAATGAGTGCAAAATAGATTGAAATTACATTCATTTGATTTACGCAAAGTGTTTGATGAAGGAATAAATTTTCTAATCGATGGAATCTGTCTTAGTTTCATCCTGGCAGTACTTTCTTCTAATTTTCAACTCTGGAATTGTTTAAATACTGCTGCGGAAGCCACAGTCTCCATTTGCATGTTTTTCCGTCGGCGTTAGTGATAGCTTTTATTCTCAGTATACTTATTAATCCACCCGTCCATCATATTTTGACCTAGGAACTTCCTTAGGCATAGGTAAAGCTTGCTGTACTCTTTTGAATAACGGTAATGACTTGTTGAAAAAAATCGGTTTCCAAAGTCTTACTGGACCATCATACATATTATAATTGCGTATTAAAGAAAATTACTGCTTTTTCCACGGACCAGATTACTAATGTGGTCTTAACTAGGCTTTGAGAACGCTGTGTCGCGTTCGCGAGAAGTCGCGTTATTGGCATAAATAAAATCATAGAATTAAGCTATACAGAACTTAGCTGGATAGTTGGCCTTCTATAGGTATGCCCGTGATGCTTCGGTGGGAGCGTATTCGCCTACAGAGCTTAGTAACTACTTGAGGTGATCTAAATTCGAAACCAAGCGTAGGGCCAAGGTTCTATTTGTACTGGAAGGCAACCGTCTAAAGTATGGTTTAGCTGTGACAGTAACGGACGTAAAAATTATTTCTTAAAAAACCTTATATCAATCAGCCGTAGGTCACTGTCTGAAATATTGTCTGACGCTGATTCCTGACGCAGAACAAGCATTTATTTAAAGGGTTTAAGGTGGAAGTGCAAATTTGGCTGTTAGTTGTCATATCTGACTTTTGTTATGGATCACGAATATCCATCTGCCTATTTAAGTTTTCAGAAAACGCGACAGGTGTAGTACCATCCACGACGATAATTATCGTGGCGCAATAAAAAAAATATAACTAATTTTTGAAGAAGCGTGTCTTTCATACAAAAGTAACATTGAAATTGGCCCAGCCTAAAAGAGCTCGCACAAATCGCAGAGAAATAATCTTCTAATTAAGTTTTAGCGTCATATACGTTAGAATTTATCGGTAACATTCAGTGGGCTAAGTCTAAATCGGCCTCGTGGATTTAGCGGGCTATCTATAGAGTAATCCTTATCTTGTATAAATTGCCTATAAGCTGCTGTAATTGGTATTCAAAACAAATCTCTAGGCGATGCCTGTTGCACTCCTACTATAGCTTATCATCAGCGTAAGTTAATGTTACAGAATGTAGATCTTTCTGTGAGATTCTTCCGCTTATATGTTATATAGGGGACAAGTAGCGGTACGGGGCTTTGCTGCGCCCCCGTTCCTTTGAGCCAGATCGGGATTTCGACAAGTCTAGGTGTGAGAAGTGTTGTTCGATGTTTAGTCCGACAATAGGCCACCAGTAGGGCGCTGCTCTTATGGCTGCCTTGGTTAGGATCAAATGCGCTAGATGAAAATTACAGTTCTATCAGTTGGGAAAATATTCTTTATATTCTAAATCATTCAATGTTTAAGATACTCGCAAAATTTAAAGGGTTTCAAAAATGTCCACGTTAATTCATAGAGAGTGAGTGCATTGAGCACTAACCTAATTTAGCTATATATCAGATTGAGACCTTAGTAATACGTTTGTCTCCACTCATTGCTTCTACCTAGGATTTCCTAAAAACGACACGGTGTTTTAGCTGCATATTAGGTTTATTTCCAATAACTATTTACGAAGAGAAGGCTTTCTTTCATATGGTCATGTACACAATCATTGTTATTCAACAAAGGTATTAGAGTTACTCGCTTAAAGACCATTATTTTAAACTCATCATTTATTGTATAGCAGGTTATCAAAGCAGGTTTATCCGATGTGTGCTGAGTGGAAGAGTTCATGCAAGTCTGTGTCCAGGTCAACGTTATGTTGGTCCAAAATGCTTTCAGCTCAGCTTCAAGCTGTTGGCCCATTTTAGTCACCCAATTGAGCTAGTTTTGATTTTGTTTCTATTTCTTCCCTACCTAACTGAACCATATCACGGCCGCAGTACTTGACAGGACGCGCTAGTTAACCACCAAGCGCGAAAAATACCACCTTCTGTGTTAAGAACATGTATACTGACGCTTTCGTTTAGCTAGTGTGGTATTTTACGTTACTAAATAATTTAACTCTGCACAATAAGGACTCTGCATTATGAGTCGAAGTCGTCCTGGAAAGAGGTTCCAGTAGCGATCTATGAATAGTTTTACTACATCTAATTTGTAAACCGACGTGGGCACTGCTCCACAACCAGTAATGCGCTTACATATATGTCTGCCTATGCCTGTATGAGTGTCTCAACTAGTGCTCACATTAGTATCTTAAGAGAAATGCAACTCTATCGAAGACGTAAAAGCTATCTCTGAGGTATCTATCTCACGCGCATCGTTTTTCAGACGGACACGGTCTGTCTTTTCAGTAGATTCTCGGCCGTTTGAACTGATCAATAAATGTGGCAATCCAAAAGTTGCTCCGATAGGGGAAGATCAATCAAGGTCTTAATCTGTAGTTACGTCATAAATGACTCATTCATATTCGTCCAATGCATCTACTGCTCGCAAATAGGAGTTAGCTCTGCTAAGCACAAGTTGTTAATTGCACCACGTTTGCATCAGCGTTCGCAACCGTGTGATTCATTAATAATCCTAATTTGGAATTTAGTAACAAAAAAGGACCATATCTTCCATTATAATCCTGCGTAGTAGAACTCCACGTGTATACCATATAGATCATACAATTGATTGACATATAGCTAATGGGGAAGGGATAACTTCGAGTCAACTGGTACGAACCAAACAAATGACCCCCCTTGAAATATGCACGCTAGAAAGAGTCAGCATTCACAATGTAAAGGCGCAGTGCTAAACATTCAGTTTTACATCTAGTCCTGCGATTAGATGCTGTCTCAGACAATGGGATATAGTATGGTGAACTGCGACTGGACCATAATAACAGCACAGTAAAGGTTTTATCATGATAAACGCATGCTGTCCTCATTTAACGTTAAATTAATAAATTCACATCACGTTACTATATAATATTGCCGCTATTGATTTAGCAAATCATTCAATTTAGATAGCCTAATGAGGATGCAAGCTCTTTGTCCTCGGTGGCTTCTCACTGATTCATCTTCATTGCTAGGTGCTTAATTTGGCATTGTTAGGCAGCCGGCCTCAGGCCACATAAACTTATTGAACAGATAACTGGGGTATCCGTGAAGCTCGAAGTACTGAAAATATTAGGCGTTTTAAGAATCGTGATCTTCGTGATGCGAGGTTCCTGGTGGCGGTCTATACGTCGCCGGGATGTGGGCCGGGTTTCGCTGCTGGGACAGGTAGTCTTCTAACGAAGCAGTCTGCGAGCCTCGACGCTGCCTGGAATAACCACGACAAGATTCGAGGGACAAAATAGATTGTAGTAAAATTTAATAGGTGGTATCGTATAATGAGGATGCTTTAATGCGCAGTAAATGTTATTGGATCATTTTGACCTCATGGTCTATTTAAAACAATCTATTATTGCCAATTGTGATAATTTGATAGCTATAAAAAAAAAATAAAACGGGAAGTATCGCAGAAGAATCAGGAGTTTTTTCAACGCTGCTTCACGAGGTTACATTTGATTTTGGGAAAGATATTTTACACAGCCAAATAGCTGCAACGTTAAGCTAAGCTTTGTTTCAGCGTGTTTCACCTTCGTGGGATCAGCGTGTTTCTGATCCCACGAAGCACTTACCTTCTTGATCTTGTAATGATGATTCAGTTAAATAGAAGGCTCAGTTATAGATTCTATAGATTTTATTGCAGCTACATGCTCATGCTGAAATAAAAGTGTTCAGACTTTATTCCTCAATAAACAGAACTGTAACGTCAGGTTCCAGGGAGTGTTCCACCAGAAATCATCACTTTTAATGCTGTTCTGAGCTTGTACTATGAAAAAATTACTTAGGACTGCGATTTATAGAGTTCTATTTCTTTCTTAAGAAAGTGAAACTTTTCTATGGAATTTGGAAACATCAAATTGAGACGTCGTATGATTTCTATCTACACTATGGTTATTACGTCATGCACATGCTAATACGTAAGGAAGTTTCTTTCGACTCAGACAGAATTCTCGTCTAATCCGATAGGAGAACTAAAACGGAAAAGAAAGATTTCAAAACTAAAAAGCCCCTATCTACGATGACCCCTGTCTTGTTCACCCGCAGTCAACATTATACGTCGAGATAACGAACAGCTTTCCGACGTGAATGAAAATAGCAACTATGTTTTAAATGCACTTCTTGAACATTCTCGATTCATCAATGTCATCCACGTTAGTGGTCAGTGACTTCGTTTGCTCGCGGTCGTTACCCGGGCTCGAATGATGTTTTGTGCTCCATAGTGGGACTCGGTGGTGGCCAAACCACGTTGCGTCTCCCCACTTGTGGAGAACGAGCAAATGGCGGAGGGGTGGTCATGCTTTCCCGTTCCCTCTGCTGGTTCCAGTTGATATCATGCTTGAAACCCCCGGTTGGTGTCGGGGGCCTTTCGTAATCACGATCGATTGATGATGCTCGTGGGGGTGGCCATTGATACACCTTCCGGGAGCTGCCGTGGAACGAGTCTGCAAGAACGATGATGATCCGGCCAGATAGCACCAGAGAGCGTAGATGGCCCGACAAGTACAGTTACCCGGCAATACGAAAAGCGGCTCCGTTAGATTCAATTATCGACAACACCACCTCACCGAAGGCATCCACGGCACGGCAACAAGGACTCGAGTTAATATAT